TCCGCTCACTTTCCTCCTCGCCTGTGTGCCTTGGCTCGCACCCCGTTAGCCGTCCCCCTGGGTCCCATTCCTGCTCCCCCTTCAGCTACCATTCGTTATGTGCACCGTGTGCGGGGTATCAGGCTGCGCTGCGTGCAGACATCAGTCTTCACAGATGTTTCATAACCACAACAGCCTGTGGGTATCATTCGCCTCCGCTGACAAATGAGGAGGCTGAAGGTTAAAGAGGTTAAGCAACTTGCCTGCGTCGCGCAAATACTCCTCCCTGCGCAGCGCTGCAGGCCCTGCGCCACATCTGCCTGTAGTCCCAGGTTCTCCGCATGCGTCAAGCCACCTGACGGCCATGCCCACCCAGGGGTCCCGCGGCACCATGGCCGAAAGGACACATGGGAACCCCAGGCGCAGTCTCTTCCCATCAACCTGCGGCTCCCTCCCCACTGCGGCGCTGGGGTGCGCTCCTGGTCACAGGCCATCGTGCTGAGGCCCGGCTCCCCGTCGCCTGCGCGTGCACACCTCCCTAGGACTGTGGTGAGGCACAGCCCAGTGCCAGGCCCTGCTCGAGACCTTGAAGACATGGCAGGGGGCGGGGCTCCTAGACACAGGCTCTGCCCCCAGCTCGCGCCCCAGCGGGGAGATGGGAGAGTCCCCTGAGATGCACACAGAGGTCCTTGCGTTTGCATTCCGTGCTGTGAATGCACAGGACAGGTTACCACTGGAGGTGGGGCAGGAGTGTGGCAGGAACACAGGAAGCGAGACCTAAACTGAGATCTGCAGGACTCGTGGGAAACTGGCCGCGGAGGGAGGGCGGGGGGGGAGGGTGGAGCAAATGGAACAGCCTGTGCAAAGCAGACAGAGCGCAGACCTACAGAGGGCGTGTCCAGGGGGGAGGGTGCAGGAAGGGGGGAGGGGAGGGTGCAGGAAGGGGGGAGGGGAGGGACAGGGCCTCAGATGTGCAGAAGCCAGATTTTAAATTTCTGTCGATTCCACCTCCAAAATATCTCCCGAATATACTCTCTCCTCTGAATTCGGAAAAAGGGCTCCGCCTGCCAAGGTGTCCATCCTTCCATCCTCTCCTCAACCTCAACCCCGCTAAAGGAGTCCTTTTCCTGCAACGCAATCTGATCACTTCGTGTCCCTGCCGGAAGCCTCCGGAGGCTCCCATGGCCTCCAGGCTTAGGTGCAAGGTCCCACCCAGCCATCCTCCCTGGGGTCTCCCTTCCTCACCCTTGGGGCCTCCGCGTTCCCAGCAGACCGTGGTGCCGGGTGCTTCGCTGCTACCAGCCCCCGACATGCCTCCTTCCAGAAAGGAGTACACCTGGGTATCCGGGCTGTCACCCAGTCGGACCCGGAGCCGAGGGGCTTTTGCGCTGGAGACTGAGGACCGAGGGCTGGGCGGAGGGAAGGCGAACCCCCCAGGCTCCGCCTCCCCCGCCACCGCAGCGAGCGCCCCAGGGCTGTCATCCACAGCGGGCAGGAGCGCGTGGAGATGGGCCCTCGGGGACGTGGGAATGACACGGCCAAGTCCTTTGCAGAGGACTGATCGGCACGCATGCCTTTTTAAACGAACAGGAATTTAACTCATTTAACTCCCACCCAGGAGTGCGTGTATTGCGAGCACGTGTGAACGCGTTGGTGTCACGTCAGGAACGCAGTGGCCCAGCTGGCCAGCGGCCAGTCAGGTGTCCTTCGCCGGGACAATCGGGTAGACAGTGGCCGCGTTTGTGACTCTCCTGCCCTGAGCTGTCTCAGAAAGGGAGAAAGGGCGAGAACACGCCAGGGCCCCGGGGAGGGGTTCGAGGCCAACCCACTGCGTTCTAAGACGTAAAGGAACAAACCCCTGGCTCTGAGGCAGGTCCTGAGCAGGCTTGCGTGCCCATGTGGGGACCCCCACCCAGACTCCCCTGCCCCCCCAGCAGCTGCAGGAAGACCCACTCCCTGAGGAAGATGAGGAGTTACCTCCATGCCTCCCCATTGCCGGCTTCTAAACACAAAAGAACCCACCCCCTCCACTGAGAAAACTCAGCCCATTCCTCCGGGGACAGGCAGCAGTCACTGAGTCATGGACCTCGCTCCAGTGTTGACCTGTGTGGCATCTGTCTCAGCGACCAGCTCGTGAGCCGAGAGGGGATGGAGGGTGGATTCCAGTCCTGGAGGCAGACCCCTCCATGGACGCTTCCTCTCCTGGCTTCTCACCCACGAACTGTCTGCAGGGACACTTCATTCCTCGCCCCTCAGGGACAGCGAAGACTCATGTGACGGAGGAGCACTGCTCTGACTCCTGGGCACGGGTTCTGTCCCCATGGCGAAGGACCCCCACTGCTGTGCTGAGTCCCGGCGCGTCCCAAAGAGCTTCATGAGCCCCAGATGCCTGGAGGCTACCTGCCTGCAGAGACCTCACTTAGGTGGGTCTTCCTAGGAGGGGACCCAAGGACTGAGCACACCCTCCTCCGGCCACGGCACAGCGGAGTGTGTTCCGTGCCACTGGCCTGAGAGAGACTATTAACCTAAGTGATTCATTCCGACTCTGGGGGGCGGAGGGAGAGGAAGGTCCCAGAGGACAGATGCTGGCCTGTGGGTCAGGTACTCGGAGTGTCACACACACCTCTGCTATCAGTGTCCCCTGTGTAAAGGCGAGAACAGCAGTGCCCACTCTCCGGGGACCCCAGGGTCTGAAGGCACAGGTCACACCGGCTCCTGCTCTCGTCTCTCGGGCTCCATGCCGTGTTCACAAGAGGACACGGGTCCCTAACGGTGCGCCCGCAGCCAGACAGCAGGTTGTAGAATCTTCACAGAGAATGGAGGGGCAGTTTTGACTCCTGTATGATTTAAAACAGATTGCTGAAACAAAGTAGGCGCGTTTTCAAAGGCATCAAATAAATACGAGAAGTGGAGAAAACACTGGGCCATCTCAAGATTATAGCCCCTGATGCAACTTCTAACTGTTCTGAAGAGTCACTTTTATGGAGAGAACACGTCATAGGCCATCTCGTCGAAGGAATCGATATCCGGAATGGCTTATTAATAACAACTACATTCTTCCGAAGTTGATGTGTAAGACAGAATCTAATTGGTTCAAAGAGATACAACTTCAATTGCATCATTTGATTGGAAATGTTCTGGTCACAAAATGTCCATAATTACTGTAATTCTCTGCCTTGTTTGAGTCTGAAATTGCACTGCTAACATTCCTTTAAGCAACAAAAACACTTCCCACAGCCAGCAAGGGTTCGACGGGGCTCGGAAGTCTCTGTTGATTGGAGGTTTGTGGGATGCAGCTGCGCTATTGCGGAGTTACGCTCCGTGCCTGTGTTCTCATTCCGGCTGAAACAGTTCCGTCTCTGTTGCTTTGATTGCAATATTGTCCACCAGGCTGGGCTGATGACTAATTTGTGTTATTAAGATGACGAACATGCGTTTCAGGTGGCTGTTGAGATCCAGCAAGAACAGCCTTGGAAGTGATCCGGCTGCAGACGGAGTGGGGTTCTGTACTCTCCCTTCTACAGTTCAGTGGCGCTGGAGCAGGGTGCATCTCGGGTGTGGCTCTCTGGGACCCTGCGGGTGGCTCAGGAGAAGAGTCAGAATCGCTGTGCCGGAGCAGAGCACACCCGTGCCCGGAGAGTCACTAACCAGACAAGCCAAGGGGAGGCCCAGGTGCGAGTCAGAAGTCAGACTGTGCTAGAAAATACCGCCGAGACGCCTGCTTCGCCCCCAGCTTCTTCGGAATACCACCCACACTCTGTGCCAGGCGTGGCTCTCGGAGACACCAGCATGGTGCCAGAGGGGCCCCTAACCTATGGTGAACCTATAGCATTTTTTTTACCATAAGAGTTTCGATCAAAACTAAAAAATAAAAAAATCCACCACGATCAGATTCTGCTGGGTAGGTATTGACTGTGTCAGCGCACACAGAGGTGAGAACACACCTCACGCGCGAAATCCAGTTGCTTGCCCATGTTACAAGGGACAAGGGCTAAAAACCCTGTGAGGAAACCCATCTACAAAAATGACACGAAGGAGATGCACAGGAGAGCTTCCCGGGGACAGTGCGCAGGACACTGTCCAACACGCCCCAGGTGCGCTTCCTACCGCCGGGGGCTGAGACTGTGGGAGCATCACTGGGTCCTCGCCTACCGCACGTCCAGCGCTGTGGGCCCCCACTGCCCCCCACCACGGGAACAGCGCCGCTCCTCTCCTGACCCCAGGGACCCTCACAAAGGCCTCGGCAGCATAGGGTCTTACTGAGCTAAGGTCTGAACCACCTGTTTGTTAAAACGGGATGTGCTTTCACCGTCTTAACACGTGATTCTCTCTCAGGATTGCTCATTCTGGGTGATGCAAAAGCACAAAGGCTGAAACCAGATGGGCTCCGCTCCTGCCTTGCCGCTCCCTCCGTGCGATGGGAGTCACCCTGTCCCCGGTGTCGACGTGTCCTCCAGTGACAGCAGAGAGGAACATGGGTCGGCTGCTCTCCCGTCACCTCCTGCACGAAGCCTGCTCCCCTGGCCCAGGGTGGAGCCGGTGGCTGGAACTTGGTCACATCTCCATAGTGACCACGGACAACCTGATGTCTACTTTCACGTGTCAGCTTGGCTGGGCCACGGGGAGCGAAGACAGTCGGTGCAGCAGGACTCTGGGTGTGACTGGGAGGGTGTTTCTGGGTGAGGTGGATGTCTGAATCGGTGCATGGACTGGACTGTCCTCCCCAAGTGGGTGGGCCCCATCCAATCAGAGGCCTGGAAAGAACAAAAACCTCGCACGCGCGCACGCACCCACACACACACACACACACACACACACATGCTGAAACAGAATCACTTGGTTTCAATTGAAGGGAAGAACAGAAGCAGATATCTTTTTTATTTGAATGACTGTTTTGTCAGGGTGTGCTGTTTTCATGTTGTTAAGATTTAACTTAATCCTCTGCACGTTAACTTCAAAATGACCCAACAATCATCATTTCTCGTGTGAAATGAGAAGACATCGAATGGACTACTGTTTTATTTTGACTTCCAACCCCAAGAATAAATCTGGTTAGTCCAAAGTAAACACACACACAGCGACAACGGCCGCCCCGCTGACCCTCAGTACTCGGTCCCGAACCAGCGGTTTATCCTCGCTGTGCTGAGGTAGAGGACCAGGCTGACGATGAAGTACTCCTCCGTCTCCTCGAGCCACACCAGCTGCACGTGCACGGTCCCCGCCGCGTCCTTGTGCTCAATACAGTAAGTCTCTCCCGCGAAATGAGGACCGCCGGAGGGGCTGGGAGAAGGCCGCATGCACACCGGGGAACTGAAACACCAGAAGGGCTTCCTGTACTCATCCAGGAGAGTCAGGTCCATCACGGCACAGCTCTGCGGAACAAGCACAGACGGCGAGTGAGGACCGAGAGGCCGGACTGTAAACGTAGACGTGCCAGCGAGGCAGAGTCGAGGAGCAGGAGGAGGAAGGAAGAGACAACAAAATCACAGGAGGGCACAGAACACGCACAGAGCGTGAGGGAACGTGACCCGCGTGCAGGACTGGAAACTCCGGGACACGGCTGGGCAGGTGGGCCCATCCGTCACTGCACCTGTGCACCCCGCTCACGCCACCGTGCAGTGAAGACAGGTGGGATGGAGGGACCAGAGCAGTGGGGTGATGGTCCGGTGGAGAGATGGCGCAAGCCCTCAGAGCCGCCTAACGGCTCACAGGAGAGGAGGGGAGAGGGAGAATACACTGAGAAGCTGGTCCCCGGAGGTGAGGGTGAGGGTGAGGGGTCTGAACTCCTCCGCACCCCCCTCACAGAGGAGGATTTGGGGAGAAGCAGCGTGTCAGGCTCAGACATGCTGGATCTAAAGGACATCGTGGGAGGGGACTCAAATCAGGGGCAGGAGAGAGAACTGGAGATACTGATCATTGTATCTTAATTGTAATTGTTATTTCTGTGTTTTTATTGAGTGTATTGGGATGACATTGGTTAATAAAATTATGCGGGTTTCAGGTATACGGTTCTACAACACGTCATCTGTACACTGTCCTGTGTGTTCACCACCCAGGCCAAGTCTCCTTTCATCACTGTTCATCCCCTTTGCCCTGTCTCCCCTCCTCTGCTGTGACCGCCATGCTGCTGTCTGGATGCAGGAGGTATTGGTTCTTTTGTTATGTGTTTTGGGGGGGGTTCTTTGCTTAATCCCTTCACCTTTGTTACCTAGTCCCCCAACCCTCCTCCCTCTGACGGCTGTGAGTCTGTTTTCTATGTATCAATGATATTACTGAGCTATACTTTATTTTCATCATGGTCAAGGACACATGACCATTCTAAGTGTACGACCTAAGCTCACGGCACTGAGCAGATCCCCACTGTCGGCCATCACCGCCCACTGCCAACTCCTTTTGTCCTGGGAAACTGAAACCTTGGCCAAGTGTATTAAGCAACAACTCCCATCCCCCCGCCCCACTTCTGTCTCTGTGAATCTGACTCCTGCGGGTCCTCAGATAAGTGGAACCTACAGTGTGTGTCCCTCTGTGTCCGGCTTATTGGTTAACATCATGTCTTCACAGTACTCCATGGTGTAGCGGGAGCCAGACGTCCCCCTTTGTCAGGCAGGGTGCTGTTCCACTGGGTGTGTTCCACTGGGTGTGTTCCACTGTGCTCATCCACGCACCCATCCGTGGACACCGGGTGTCTTCCCTCTTGGTTAACTGTGCATGATGCTGCTACCAACACACGTGTGCAATGTGAGCTGCACTTTTAACATGTTCTGTGTACCAGGCACTGATCCAAGCAGTTCACATAATATATTTTATTTCATTCTCAAGAATCAAGTATTCAGTTCTCAGGACATCAAGGTGACATCAAGGGTAAACTCTTTTCACACTAGCCTTTCCAGACGTAGCTCATTACCTGCCATAACTGTGCCTTGTATCAGTGTTTTATTCATTGCAGCTGAAACGCTTATTCTTAGCCATCGGTATAGACTGAGCACAGGTAACAATGTAATTAGACATGGAGAGGTGTTGCAGACGGCAGCATAAACTTGCTTTCAGAGATCCACACTCAACTAAATGGGGCTCAAAGTGCTGACGATGTGGAATGATCAGGTCAAAGAGTCGTGACTCAAAAAATGTATACGAGACTCAAACATTACAAAATGTATACCTTGGAGAAACGTACGAGACACAAACATTACAAAATGTATACCTTGGAGAAACGTACAAGACACAAACATTCCAAAAGTTGAGAAAAATGAGATGTTTGGTAAGTGACCCAGGTGCACTGGCCCTACCTCTGGAGACCGGGGTGAAGAGCGGGCCCATGTGAAATATCCCTGACCCCTGACAGCAAAGGTGCAGACCAGAGCTGAGCCCCTGACCACATTAAGAGGGGTGTCTGTCGACATGGCCCCAGCCCCTCCCCCATCCTGGACCTTGGTCCTGATGCCTGACCAGGTCCTGGGGCAACACTGACCAGCCTGATGACAGCGCCCGCATCGTAGACTCTCCTTCTGGCATGACCAGCACCCCAAGCTCACACGGACCAGGGAGAAGGGCCCCTCCACGCTGCAGCCGCTGGGCACTGAGATCCGGAAGATGCTCATGCTCCGGCGGCTGGAGCCGTGTGGAAGCAGCAGCTACCAGCAAGGCCATCTGAGGAAGGATGCCGTGTGGCCACAGCAACTCCCAGGTAATAGGGTGGTGGGTGGTCCACACCCATCTTTCCCTTCACCCCTCCCCATCTGACTGCTGTCGAGTGGCTGCTCAGTTTTCTTACTGAAAACCCCAGCCAAACCCACCAGCACTGAGATGGTGGTTAGAACTGTGAGCAGGAGATGCCCCTGGGAAGGCAGGGAAGGAAACCGAGAAGGTAGTCTTTAACATTCTTTTGTATGTGACAATCTTCAAAACACTCCACAACACCGAACTGCAAGGGGCTCAAGAGGAGGCGCAGCTGACCTTGAGCACGGGTCTGCCCCGCGCCGGCCACCTGCGCGTGATGTCTTCAGTAAGTCTGTCCGTGTACGTCCCTTCCTCGTGATCTCTGTAACGCGTTCTTGTCTCTAGCTCACTTTACTGCGAGACCACAGTCTGTAACACGTTTACTCTACACGGTACGTGTTCGTCAGCTGTAGATGTTTGCAGTGAAGCTCCCAGGCATCAGTAGGCTCTGAGTAAGCCTTAGAGCAGCGGTTCTCCACCTTCCTGAGGCCGCGACCCTTTAATACAGCTCCTCATGTTGCGGTGACCCCCAACCATAAAGTTATTTTCGTTGCTACTTAGTAACTGTAATTTTGCTACTGTTATGAATCGCCCTTGGAAATGTGTGTTTTCCGATGGTCTTAGGCGACCCCTGTGAAAGGGTCATTCGACCCCCAAGTTGAGAACCGCTCACTGTCAGAGAGTCAACAGTCACGTGTGGACTTCCAGCTGTGAGGAGAGCTGGTGCCCACCTCTGCGCTGCTCGAGGTCACTGTATCTGACAGTCAAGTCCTTCGAGTGCTCAGCGACAGTGTGAGCAGCGGCATGCTGCTCCTGGCCTCAGTCGGCGTCACTAACAGTTCTGGCCAGGTGCCCACACTTCCGGACTCCCTCCGCACTCACAGGAGACTGAGCCGCCGACCGTGAACATCCCCAGCATCCCCACAGTGAGGCTGGAGAGGAACACAGACCAGGAAGGGCCATGGCACAAGGACCCCGGAAGGAAAGGGGTGTGTTAGGGCATCCCTGCTCTTCCTCCTCCTCCCCCTTCCCTGCCGACTCCCAAACACCAACTCCGTTCTCCCATCCCCGTGGCTAACTTTTGATGGACACAAGGTGATGTCACTGCTCGAGGAAATAGCTGTGTCCTGGACATAACTGCAAAACGCTCTGAACATAAGACGCTTCGAGTCAATGCTACTCGCCTGGCCCACCCCACAGCTCACTCTCTCTCCACAGAACAGAGGGACAGAGGGGCTGCCGGGCGCAGAAGTCAGCACAGGGCTCTGCGTTGCTGCGGCTGCCGCTGCCCCTCCTCCGCCCGCGCTCCGGAGCGCCGACGAGGGCACCGCCTGGCCGGCGTGGCTAAGGGACGGGCACAGACCCCGGGCCACCAGAACGGTGCACCCAGGACCTTAAAAGCAGTATTACGTACACACACATCAGCAGACATGTTTACTACACAGAGACCAGGGACCGTAAGGGAGAAAGCGGCCGGTTACCTTTATACAGCCATCAAAAACGTCAGTTCTCCACGAGAGGCCGACTTTCCCGACAAGAGGCAGATGTTCTGCGCTATTTTGAAAATGTATCACAATGAGCTTCGCGTATCCATTTTCAATACATCCTGAAAAGATTTAATATGTTTTAAATTACCACATACAGATGCAGGACCAGAAGCCCAGACTCTGCGGGTCCGCCGCTGCACCCAGGACCTCAGGCTCAGCACCAGGGCCCTGGTGGAGGGGGCCCAGCACTGCTCACCCGGGCATCTGGCGTGAAGCCAGGGCAGGGCACCTGCGCCCCAGAGACAGCAAAATGCACGGGTGCTCTGAAAAGGCGGGGGAGATGCCTGGGGTGAACTGGACACCCACCTGTCACTGATGCTAAGGAGGCAAAGGTTCTTCTGATGTAAGCTCACAGCAGTGAAAATGGAAAAGGAGAACTGTGGAATCGAAGAAAGCAGAGCCCAGAAATGGCCCAGAGAGGGAATGAACGTGGGGAGCGCGAGACAGAGGTCTGAGAAGTGCGGGTGTGGGGGGCTGGTGATATGGACGCACACCTACAATGAACACGTCTGCACACGCTCTCAACCAGCCAAAGCCCTACGCGTGCATCCCGGCGCGTGCGTGTGACCAGAGGCGCTGCCCTCCGCTGATCGGCGCAGAGCACCCGGGAGCAAGCTGGCCACCAGGGCCTCACAACCCGGCCACGCACGTTCCACTTTCCCGGCACCTGAGCTTCACACACCCACCCATTTCCTCACGCCCTGAAAGGTGCCCGTCACCACGACAACGTAGCAGCACCCTCCCTGGAGGAGCAACTTCTGCAGGACAGACTCCTGGACAAAGGCGAGATGTGAGTCACGGGCAGAGCCGATGGCGGAAGAACCAGAAGAGCGTGTCCTTGACCCTCGCCTGGTGCTGTCACAGATAAAACAGAACCAAAGCCCAGTTGCCTGGGCACCAAAGCCCTACTCTGGAAAGTACCGTGTGCTCGCTCAGGTGCAGCCAGATGAAGACCCGCGCTCTGCCAGCAGCCTCTTGGGGCACCAGGTGCTTTTAGTGACAGACCCCTCGGGACAGAGGCTGGGGGCCCTGCAGGAGGGTGCTGGGAGGCTGCCGCGGCCGGCCTGGCTTCTGTTCCAGGACGGAGGCTGCTGAGTAATTAGCTAGAAATGCGCAGCGTCCCTCCTGCCCGGGGTGTGGGAGTGAATGCCAAATGAACGGCCCTTCCCAGGCGGCCGCTGTCGCCATGGCGGCGGCGCAGAGATGGCAGTCTGGATGACCAGATGCGGCTCGGCCCGCTGCTCTCCTGCGCGGCCGCCTGCAGGAGCGAGAGGCCCCCGCGGGCGCAGCCGACGTGCGGACAGAGGGCGGGGCTGCACTGTCCATGCGGCTGTCCCTCGGGACACTGCCGAGAACGGACTCCGCGCACAACAGCGGCGACGGCTCACTGGCAATGTCGGAGCTAATGACCGTGAAGTCGCTGCGTGAAGCAAGGACTCTGTTACTGTCATCACCAGACACCCCTTCCCAACCACGGCTGCAACCTTGGCGGCATCTCGAAAGGTCAGCGTGCTTCCCGCCAGCCCCGTCGCCGCTGTGCACGCGAGAGGTAGAGTTAAGCTCCTCCTACGTCTGAAGTCTGCGCACAGAGGTGGGTGTGAGAGTGTGATGTAAGCCAGGCGGTAACTTTGAGTACTTATGTCCACCCACCACGTGTTACATGCTTCATGTGCGGTAGTGTCGAAGACTACTTTAAACCTCACCTTAAAAGAACACCATGAGCCCTGGCTGGTTTGGCTCCGTGGTTAGAGTGTCGCCCGTGGACCAAAGGGTCTCAGGTTCGATTCCCGATCAAGGGCACATGCCGGGCTGCAGGTCTGATCCCCGGCCGTCGCTGGGTTGTGCGGGAGGCAGCCGGCAGATGAGTCTCTCTTGAACAACCATGTTTCTCTCTCTCTCTCTGTCTCTCCCCCCTCCCTCCCACCCTTCCCTCCACTCTATCTAAAAATCAATGGGAAATATCTTCAGGTGAAGATTAACAAAAACTAAATAAAAATGAAAAACAGCACTGGTACAGAGTATCCTAGTTTTCTGAACCCACAGATGAAGGAGGCAGCGCGGTGGACAGGGCCTTGCCCCGGGACACACTGCTGGCAAGCGGCAGAGACTTGTCTGGAGTCCCCGTTGTAACAGATTAACATACATGCACAAGGGGAAACCACCACCTACTGGTTTACTGGCTGAGACTGTATAATGCAGATTACATGCTCAGGAAGCTCTGCTTTTGTATAATTGCCAATGGAGAAAGTCTGCAAATGAGAGGGAACGTGCGGGGGGGTCATTTATAGCTCCCCAAAATGTCTGCTAATCGCTCCGTCTGTGAGTCCCGCTCACTCCCGCCCGTTCCCAAGCTCCCAAGCTGCCCTGGAACCACGTCGTGAGGGAGCGGACACGCCCTCGCGGAATTCCTGTTCCTGAAACCCTCCTAATGAGTCTAACTTCACCCATCAGGAAGACTATGCCCAATGCAGGGAAATGCCACCCCAGGCTCACCGACACGGCTTCCGGGGACATGCACGCGCCAGCACGGCCTTGGGAGTCCCAGACCTCACTCAAACCCTGCCCGGCCACTCACTGGCTGTGCAACCATGGGCAAGCTCAAGGGAACTTACACAGGGACACGGACAGGAAGTACTTTATAAAGCTTTGTGGAGACCAATGGAACTGACAATAACTATGGACATGACAGGGCAGGCTGTTACACAGGTTAACGTGCCAAGCACCTGACATGCATTATCTCAACAATCATATTCTCTCTAAAGGTTGGTCTGCTGCCAAGCAAACAGTGGAGGTGTACCATATTCATGGACTACAAGGCTCACGATTGTTAAGATATCCACTTATTCAAATTGATCTATAGACTTAATGCAATCCCAATCATAATCCCAGCAGGCATTTTAATAGGTAATTTGTTAACAATCAGTATATATAAATAAATGAATATAATTTGACAAGCTGATTCTAAAATTTGTATGGAAATGCTAAGAACCTAAAATAACCACACAATCTTGAGAAGAAGAAAAAGGTTGCCTTCAAGACTTACTGCACAGCTCCAGCGAGCACAAGGGTCTGGTGTTGCTATAAAGACACAAACAGAAGAAGTGGGACCAGAAATAGACCAACATGGTATTAGCAACTGATTTTTTCTATAAAAAACATCAAAATAACTCAATGAGAATAGAAAGTGTTTTCACAAGTGGTACAAAAAACAACTTGCTATCTATATGGGAAAATAAATATGATCCTCAACCCATACCTAATAGGTTACACAAAAATTAATTAGGATGGATCACAGACCTAAATGTAAAAGCTAAAACCAAAACACAGCTGAAAGAAAAGAAAGAATATCCCCACAACCCGGGGTATAAAGAGTTTTAAAACAGAAAAAAGAAAACAATCATTAAAAAAACACTGATAAATTAGATTTCATCAAAATGAGAACTTTCTGATCATTAAAAGATATTTAAATGAATAAGCAAGCTGTCGACTGGGAGAATGTATGTGCAAAATATGTATCTGAAAAAGTACTGGTATTCAGAATGCATAAAGGACTCCTACAATGCAGAAATAAAGAGACAAACAACTCATTCATTTTCACAAAGGCAAAAGAGTTAAGAGATACTTCAGAAAGAAGATATGCCGTGACTAATAAGCACATTAAAAAGTACTTAGCATTACTGGCCATCAGAATATGCAAACAGAACCCAGCAGGAGCTGCCATCACCACCCCCGGGAGACAGCTACCCTAAGAACAGCAGCATCAAATGCTGGCCAGGACCTGCAGCAGCTAGGACATCCCCACACTGACCAGAGGAGCATGAGGTGGCGCAACTTCCAAAACCAGTCTGGCCATTTCTTATACGTAAAATTTCCTGACGCATTAAAAATGAGTGGCATTCTTATACATAAGATTTTCTTACACATTAAAAAAAGTCTGGCATTCTTATACATAACAAAGTTTGGCAATTTTAATACATAAATCTTTCCTAAGACCCAACAATTCCAAGCCCTAAGAACATAACCAAGAGAAATCAAAATATATGTCCACAAAAAAAGACGTTCACCAGAATTCCCTAGCAGCTTTATTCCTAGGAGCTCGAAGCAGAAAACAACCCACAGGTCCTGTCTGTCCACAGACAGATGGGGGAGCAAACCGCCGTGGCTCAGTCAGGGGAATACCCCTCTGTAAGGGCGCCTGCACTGCACGGACAACACCCAAAGGCATTTTGCTGCCGGGAAGAACCCGGGCACGAAGGAACATGGCGAAAGGATCCAGGAACAAGAGTGCACCCTGCGTGATCCATTCACATGAAGTCCTAGAACAAGCAGAAAAATCCAGGGAGAAAAACATTGGAAAGATGTCTGGGCAAGTTCCTGTCCTCTTCCCGTAACTTTTTCTAAACTGGAAATTCGATCAAAACAAAAAGTTACAGGACAAGCAGCACTCAATACAGGTGAGCTGTCAGCTGTGCCGACCTTCCTGGGAAGGTCCCTACTCACTGCACCGCCCTTCCCCATCCAACCTGTGCCTCTGGCCAAGCCCCAGTCTGGGTCCTCACAGTCACCTCTGCGGCTGGGAGCGCCCTTCTCCCTACACTCTCTTCCTGCTCTGACCCCTGCTGCTCACCCTTTGACACCTAACTCCCCTGAATTACTGCTGCATGTCAGGTCTGGTTCCAAGTAACCCACCGTCTTTGGGAAGAGAGTTCACATCTTCCACGGGGCGTTCATGGCCCTTCTGACATGTCTCATTTCTCAGCTATGATCAGAGCTCATCTTCTTGCCTCATACATAGAAAACAGAAGAGGTGGGAAGTCCCTGCCTCGCCACTCACTTGGTCACAGCATCGTCCCAACTCGCCAAGGTTGTGGGTTCGGTCCCCAGACAGGGCCCGTGCAAGACTCAACCAATGAATGCATGAATAAGTGGAACAGCACAAAATGTTTCTCTCTCTCTCCTCTCCTCTCTCTCTAAAATCAATTCATAAAAACACTTTAAAAATAAAAAGGTGAGGAGTGACAAACATGAGGAGAGGAGACTGGCAGCCGGAGGAGGGATT